AAAAATATATATATATATATATATATATATTTGTAACTTTAATAAATGTTAACATTAAATTTAAATGTTACAATAAGCAAAATATATCAAAGCATATTTGACTATAAAGAAAAGCATTGATAAAATTAAGAACTCTATTCATTAAAAGACACCATCAAAAAGTTAAAGGGAAAGCCACAGATGAGAACATAAACGCACCACATACAGGCATTCCTTAAAGATACTGTGGGTTTGGTTCCAGACGACCATAATAAAGCAAATATCACAATAAAGCGAGTCACACAAATTATTTGGTTTTCCAGTATATATGAAAGCTATTTATACTATACTGTAGTCTATTAAGTGTGCAATAGCATTATGTAGAAAAAAAAAAAGACCATACACATACCTTAATTAAAAATACTTTATTGCTAAAAAAAAACTGCTAACTGGCACCTGAGCTTTCAGCAAGTCATAACCTTTTTGCTGGGGGGGAGTCTTGCCTCGATGCTGAGGGCTTGCTGACTGACCAGGCTCGTGGTTGCAGGAGGTTGGGTGGCCCTGGCAACTCCTTAAAACAGGACAGCAATGAAGACAGCCCCATCAATTGACACATCCTCTGATGAATGTTTTCTCTGTAGCAGGCAACGCTGTTTGATAGCATTTTACCCACAGCAGAATTTCTTTCAAAATTGGAGTCAATCCTCTCAAAACCTGCTGCTTGCTTTATCAACTAAGTTTAAGTAATATTCTAAATCCCCTGTTGTCATTTCAACATCTTCACGGCATCATCACCAGGAGTAGATTCCATCTGAAGAAACCACTCTCTTTGCTCATCCATAGCAAGCAAATCCTTACCCGTCATTTAAAGTCTGATCATGAGATTGCAGCAGTTCCATCACATCTTCAGGCTCCACTTCTAATTTTGGTTCTCTTGCAATTTCCAACACATCTGCAGTTCCTTCCTGCCCTGAATTTTTGAACCTCTCAAAATCTTCCATGAGGGCTGGGGAATCAACTTCTACTAAATTCCTGTTAATGCTGATATTTTGACTTCTTCCCATGAATCATGAATGTTCTTAATGACATCTAGAATGGTGAATCCTTTCCAGAAGGTTTTCAGTTGACTTTGCTCAGATCCATCAGATAAACTGCTATCTATGGCAGTTATAGCCTTACTTATTTCTTAAAGGATAAAACTTGAAAGTCAAAATGACTTGATCTGAGGGCAGCAGAATGGATGTTAGCAGGCATGAAAACAACATTAATCTTGTTGTACATCTCCATCAGAGCTCTTGGGTTACCTGGTGCATTGTCAGTGAGCAGTAACATTTGAAAGGAATCATTTTTCTGAGGAGTGGGTCTCAATAGTGGGCTTAAAATATTCAATAAACCATGCTGTAAACAGATGTACTGTCATACAGGCTTTATTGTTCCACTGATAGAGCATAGGCAGAATAGACTGAGCATCATTCTTAAAGGTCTTAAAATTTTCAAAATGGTAAATGAGCATTGGCTTCAACTTAAAGTCACCAGCTGCAGCATTAGCCCCAAACAAGAGACTCAGTCTGTACTTTGAAGCCAGGCATTGACTTCTCCTCTCTAGCTATGAAAGTCTAGATGGCATCTTCTTCCAATAGAAGGCTGTTTCATCTACATGGAAAATCTGTTGTTTGGTGTAGCCACATTCATTAATTATGTTAGTTACATCTTCTGGATAACTTCCTGCAGCTTCTACATCAGTACTTGCTGACTTCATCTTGGACTGTTATGTTCTAGAGATGGCTTCTTTTCTTATAACTCATGAATCAAGTGCTGTTAGCTTCAAATTTTTCTTCTGCAGCTTCCTCACCTCTCTCAGTCTTCACAGAATTGAAGAGAGTTAGGACCTTCCTCTGGATTAGGCTTTGGCTTAAGGGAATGTTGCGGCTGGTTTCATCTTCTATCAAGATCACTGTTCACTGGAGTAGCACTTTTAATTTCCTTCAAGTATTTTTTCTTTGCATTCACAACTTGAATGTTTGGCGTGAGAGGCCTAGCTTTTGGACTGTCTCACGTTTTGACACACCTTCATCAATAATAAGCTTAATCATTTCTAACTTTTGATTTAAAGTGAGAGATGAGAAACTCTTCCTTCCACTTTAACACTGAGAGGCCACTGTAGGGTTATTAACTGGCCTAGTTTCAACACTGTTGTGTCTCAGAGAATAGGGAGGCCGGGGAAGAGGGAGAGAGATGGAACAGTCAGTTGCTGGAATGGTCAGAACATACATTTACAGATTAAGTTCACCATCTTATGTGGGCATAGCTTGTGGTGCCCCAAAACGATTACAGCAGTAACATAAAAATCACTAATCACAGATTACCATAACAAATATATTAATAATGAAAAAGTTTGAAATACTGCAAGAATTACCAACATGTGACACAGAGACACAAAGTGAGCAAATGCTGTTGGGAAAATGGTGCCAACAGACTTGCCTGATGCATGGTTGCCACAAACCTTCAATTTGTAAAAAATGCAATATCTCTGAAGTGCAATAAAGCTAAGTGTGATAATTGAGGTATGCCTGTATAGCCAACAAAGGTTGTGTAAATGAATACATTTTTAAAAGTCCTCAAATCAGTAAGAAATCACGCAAAAAAACTGGCAAGAGATATGAACTAGTAATGTACAGAGAGGTAAGCAAATGGCAAAAAATATGAAAAGGCTCATAACTGTACTAAAATCAGGAAATTGAAAATTAGTATTATAGCAAAATACCATTCTACACCTTTCAGAACAATAATTTTTTTTAATTTGATAAGACCATGTGCTATCACATATGCGGACAAATAAGAACCCTTATCCAACGATGGTTAAAAGATAAAGTGATAAGGCCACTTCTATGAACAGACAATATAACAACATATAATAAGCTGATGATGTACAGATCCTATTTTCCAACAGTGCCACTCCTGGGCACATACCTTAAAGAAACTCTCACATATTTTATAGTACCAGACAGAAATTTAAGGATTCATGTGTATCTGTAAGGTTTTATTTAAAAAAAAAAGGAAGGAAGGAAGGGAGAAAGTTCTGAAGCAAATCTGCCAAAATACCATTCTTACATTTCTTAGCTGGCATAATGACAATGTCACAGTGGTGTCATCTAATAGTGAGCTTCTATCTCGACCTTGTCCAAAGCTTTCACCATCTTCAAAGAGAAAACTGAAAGGAGATTAAAAAAATTATCTTTAATTATTTTAGTGAGCACAGAAATCTGATTTATTGTTTCTTGTAGAAAATTTAGTCTAAATTATCAATCTCTTCAACAAAAGAAAAAAAGAAATTTTAGACTGAATGGGTTAATAAAAAAGTAACTGTTGGTCGAAATTTCTCCAAAAAATTTTCATTTTTAAATATATGTTGAGTTGGTATAAATACAGTATATAAATATAAAGCATTTTAGGAATACAAGAGTATGATTTATACTCTCTGCTCATGCAGGTGCAATGATTAAATTACTCTCCTGACAGTATGTAAATGTGTTCCTGAGGAAGTTTATATGAGTAAAAAATGATAAAGAGAACAAGAAAGAAAGATGCTAATGATGATAACTCCTCAGGAGAAAGAACACTGAATAATAAATGCATTTAGAATTTTAGAGAATCACTTTTGAGAATTTTTATATCCTTCAAACCATTTATTCTTATAATTTCTATCATCTTATTTTCTAATTTTCTACTTAATTCATTGTGTGAACAGTATAATTAAAGTAATATTTAAAAATCAGCTTAAGAGGGGAAAAAAGTAGAGAGCTAGTGGTGTATTCAAATAATTAACCTAAAATTTACATGTGAAGAAAAAAATGATCAGCAGATGAATTCTACAGTTACCTACAAAGATCAAAGCTAGTTCTAAAATCTAAAATTAAAACTTTAAGGCATTGGTGGAAAGAGATTCAGGTTCTCTTCTTTACGAATAAATAGGAAGAGCAATGGAACAGTGACAATTTTGGCCCTTAGGGTTGTATTGTTATTTAACTTCTAGATAATTTACAGGATGGTGTCCAAGACCTTATGTAGTTCTGCAGATTTTTCTCAACAGTGATTTAGCACCATGATGATCTCTAGCACAAGCATTGAGGTCACTGAGTACATCTTAAAGTATCATTAGAAATAAAAAAAAATAGTTCCTCATAATGGGAACACTAGCCTAGTTTATTAACTCTCTTAAACATTACTGTTCTTTCTGATTTGTACATTTTTTCTTTTATTGATCACCAACTATTGTGAGATGTTCCATAATATTAACTTTACTTCAAATAGATCATAAAACAAATTATTTATTAAAAAAACATATTTATTAAAATAATAAAAACACTGATGGGAACTCTGCAATTAGGAACTCCTGCCAAGAAAACAAGTATTGACTCCCAATTGCTTTCATAATCACTGAGTTGGAATGTCTACCAAAAGAAAAAAATATCAAATTAAAAAGAAGTTATTACTAGATTTTTCTCATTTCCAAGAGAAGTTTTCTTTCCTTACTTGGGGAGTGTGCAGATAGGTGGTTTGGATCGAATGATTTCCTTGTTCACAAGTTCTTTTTCCAAGTCACCTCCAGCTAAACACCAAAGGTAATACACTTCTTCAATAGATCTTTCTGCCAGGTAATCACTGCTTAAATCTATTAATGGAAAATTAAAAAGCTATCACACCTTCTGTTTTTATTAAAAGCCAACAGGCAATAATAGCTGACATTATAAAAAAGTAAAAACTGAAGAACAAAATAAGATTCCCTTTAGAATAGTCATACTACACAGAGAGGACTTTGATCAAAGGGGCCTTGCTAGGTTCCTCCCTGTTTACCACACTGAGTTCATATTTTCTGTAATTATCTGTGGGTGATAACTCTTTCCTGGAACAGGTGTTCCATCTTCAATTCTTTTAAACAGTTAGGGGAAAGTCCAAAAGTTCTTTATGAGTCTTTTGGGCCTTGCTTATTTTTAGCTCAAAATAATCTGTGTGCCAGAGTAGCACTTCTTGGGGAGGCCTTCCTGGAACCCCATCATTATGTATTCCTCCTATTGAAGGATGTAATCAAAAAGACATGAAAGCCAGCTGATGTCAAGCTGGACCCTGGCAAATGGAGGCTCCCACCCCTTCCCCTGTCCTTGGAATGTGCGTTCAGCTTGCCTTCCCCACTCCCAGAAGCTGCTCCAAGAATACAGCCTTGAGATAGATGTGTGGTATTGAGATTGTCTGCACTGAATACACAATTGAACCCAACTAAGGTCTCTATATATATAATTTTTAAGATTCTGGAGGGGAGGTGAGGAAATCTGCTCATTTGGTGGTAATCCAAGTCTAGCTTCATAAGCAAATTCTCTTGCTTATTAAAAAAAAAAAAGAATAGTCATACTACAAAATGCAGAGGATTAAATGCAGACATACATATTGGTTGTGTATTCAGTTTCTTTGAGAAAAAAGTGTAATTTTTACTCTCTATATCAGAGACATATGGGATATACATATCAGATATATCAAGCTCTGCAGGAAAGAAAGAAGGGCAGAAAAAAAGCACTTGGGTAGGCAATCAACACACACTGTCCCATCTTTATGTCTTGAGGCAATTTCTGCCTCTTTGGAGAAGTCCTTCTTTATATCTCAGAGAGGCTTTGCTTCCACTGTACTACGTGCGTACTAACCTTCATTTATAACAGTAATTGTGCGACTGAATGTCTGTCTGTCTGCCTCCCCATTTGGCAAAAATGATACTTGCAGATACAGTGTATGGAACATAGTAGAAACTCAATAAATATTTGATTGAACCAATGTTCAGTAAGTATTTCCTGCCACAACTTATGTAATGATAATTTTTCAGTATAAAGGTAACATACTGGTGTCCCTAAAACACACATTCTGAGAGTTGTAATCTTCAGAGAGGAATTAAAAGAGAAAAGGTGATATTCTGTTACAAACATGGAATATAATGATATGGACTTCCTATCAATAATATGATTTTTTGAGATCATTTATAATACATTTTATGAAATATGATATACAAATATTGTTGTAGTAGAAATCCCATTGGAAATTAGATCTGATTTTAGCATTAAGATTTGAGATGAAAATAAGACCTTGGTTTACATAATAAAAAAATTTTTGTTTGGTGCTACTTCTTTTCCTTGATGCTTAAATTTCTTGCTCCAAAGAAATTAAATTTAAAGGACTAAAATGTTAGGTTATATTTTAATCACTTCCAGAATTACTTCTATCCTTTGTTGTATTTATCATTACCTTTACACAGCTGACTGATATCCTCAGGCAGAGTTAAATCGGCACATCTCAGAGAAGAAGAAAACAGGCTGGTAGGTTTGGTAAAGGGAGTGTATAAAGGTGACACTTCACTGAACACATTGTCCTGCATTAATTCATCTGGGGTTGGCCTTAAGAAATATTTAAAAAACGGAACATGAATGAAAGTCATTAAAATTTTCCTAAAATAATGGCACACTTCAAGGGATAGTTAAAAGTCAAAATTACCTCATTAGCATAGAAAATAATAAAGTTCTCCTTATTAGAGTCTAGATATATACCTTTAAAAAGAGAATCAAGTGACTGTAAATAAATGCTGACTTTTTTATCTTTGTTGTGCTTTTTGTACTTTATGATAAAAAATTATTACATATGAGCATCTCCATTTTTTACTTTTAGCTTGACCACCATATACCTGCTTTACTGAATACCTTAATTAAATAATAAAATTGTAAACTGATAAAATCTGATTTTCTTCCTGCTCTCTTAGTTTATGTGGTATATTTACCCAAAACTATGCTTTTAATACCATTCCTCTCTTTAGGAAATGTTTTCCTAAAGACAAATTAGAATACATTATTTTCAAATATTATATACTTACTGAGTTTAGGGACAACTGGATGGCTAACAATGACATCATCAAATGAAAATAAATAATAAAACTTCTAAGAAATCCTTTTATATTATCAACAATTATTAACTTACCTCACCATTTATCTAAGTTCTTTTCTACAATACATATTTGCCAATAAACTTTTGTTCTCATTTTTCTCATATCATTTGTATCTAGGCATATCTATATTCCACAGTTTAGCTGATTTTCTAATTGGAGGCTAGGAAATGAACTAGTAACTGCTTTTGGTATATGCCAGTTTTCTAACCATGGTTAATTATTTTTTCTTCTTTTATTACCATACATTAAAGCCATAACTAACAATTATGATACCGATATCAATCATGTACTACTATATATGTTAATACTCTTATTTAACCCATTAGTATTAAAAACTTAACTACTTATATGTTAAGATCTCAGTAATAATCCCAAACTCTTGATATCAACCTTTTAGAAGGGTGGAAGGTGAGGCACTTCTTCAAAAGATCTATCACATTTTCAGGAAGCTCCTGGTAAATAGAGAGAGAAAAGAATTATTTTTAAAAATCCATTTAAAAATTTATATTACTTAAATGTTTGCTACTTTACAATGTTTTGACTTTTTTTGAAAGTCTTTATTGGGACTTTAAAGAAATTCATATTAGTTTGTCACTCTGTCAAAAAGCAGATATCTAAACAGAAATAAACATAGCTTTAAAATAGTTTGTTATTGAATCCCAAGTATGCAGAATAAATAAATTTTCAATAACAGATTAATGACAAACCTTTATAATGTCCAGACAACCATGCTCTTCAGCCAGAACTATTATAGTGTCATCTATGCAGTCTATAAAACAGAAAAATTATAAGAATTAAAGCTGCTTTTCTAACTTAGACTAACTGGGAATTGAACTCTAATAAATTTTTTTTTAATTGTGTAATTCAGTTTTAGAACTTTGAATATTAAAAAGCTTGAGACTTTTTCAACTTTCCTTACATGCTTCTATAAAAATAAAGACTTCAAACACTAAGTATTATTTGTATCACAGATACTGAAAGCACCTTAAATAGTGAGTTAAAGCAGTAATTCAAGGAGGTAAAGATTCTCTCCTTCTCTCTCCCCCCCCCCATATGTATATACACATATTACTATTTAAAAAGGCTTTAGTATATTTTTACAATTATAAGACTAATTTATTTTTATTAAATACAATTTGGAGAATGTACACACGTTTCTCTGGGATTTAAAGTATAAGTTCTACAAACGTATGGACAGCAAGGGGGGAAAGCAGTGGAGGGTGGTGGTGGTGGTGTGATGAATTGGGGGATTGGGATTGACATGTATACACTGATGGGTATGAAATGGATGACTAATAAGAACCTGCTGTATAAAAAAATAAATTAAATAAAATTTTTAAAAAAGTATAAGTTCTAATCTGTAGACAACATTTATAGATCTCTAAGACTCCTTAATAGCTATATTATCAATCTTTGATATTAAAGTGGTAAATATTATAAAATTTTATGCAATTTTATTCACAATTCATTATTATTTAATATTTACTAATATTATTCTATACAAATCCTTATTTGTAGACCCTATTAACCTGGACACCAATCTGTCACTCTTTTACACAAAGTCCTCTATCACTGTTTTTCTCTCCTTTTTTTACCACACGTGATTAAATTATTCCACTCTAAAGTGGATTACACAAAGTTTTATAAATGTGAATGACAAATATTTGGATTATATACATGTAAAATATATGAGCTTGTTATAAGGAAAAATAAACATTCTTCCTCAGTCACTATTCACACGATACACCAAGTAGAAAGCTCAAAAGTTACAATACATTGCCTGAAGGCAACTGCGACAGTGAAGTACAATTTTATAATCTCATATTTTGATTTCACAAGTTAGTTTACTTGGCTAGATCATGCTAAGATTATATCCATGTACATTATAATTCCTTAGTGAATGAGGAAAGCTGTCCTATAATACTTCAAAGGCACTTCTTAAACTGTCCTGTTAATGCTTACCACTGATCATTAGAAAATTAAAGAAAGTGAGGATATTTCAGTGTATCCACTATTTTGAAGAACACGTTCTCAATATGCATAATTACTGTCACTAAAGATTATATTTATAGTTGAAAGATAATCAATTGTGAGACACTTACCCAGTGTAAGCAAAAATTTTAGTCTTTCAGAAATATCCAAACTCTGAAATAGTTTTCTTCCCTAAATAAAATGAGAAAAGAAATTCTTGTTAACATTTACATCATTCTTCCCAGGGAGGTCTTGTTTTTTCAGCGCTGAAAATGATTTTATCAGTTACCTCTATTTCTCTTCAGAGGTTTTATTAGATTTTTTGAGTTGGCTCCACTAAAGAAAAATCATTGGTGATATAACAGTTTTTTAAATGTTGCATAATATTTAACACTTAAGCATTTCATATTATCTAAGGATCATTACATTTTAGTTTGATCTCAAGCATTCTTCATTTTTGAGACCTACATATACCTGGTTGTCTAGAGGAACTCCAGGAGTCTTATTTGATTAAAAGACCAAGATGCCATATTACCCTTTAATCTACCCAATTAATTCTTACTTATATAGCATGATCCAGGTAGTCTGTTATCGCCATTAAGAAACATTCCATGACACTTCTTCCTCTTCCCAAAGTGACTTAAGACAACCATTTTTGTGTTCCCATAGCACCTGGTATATTTCTTTATAAGACACATACATTGTATTTTAGTTGTTTCCTTAATAGTTGGCTTCAGGGGGCTCCTTGGAATGGAGTCTTAAATCAAACACTTACAACTTTAACTAATGATCATGTGTTGAGCGACTACTGAGAGCCAAGTTGGACTTTCTACCACCAATAATATAACTTGGGCAAATTACTTAACCACCTTAAGCCTCACTTTTCTCATTTATAAATTGGAATATTAACTATACATGCCACACAGGGTGCAGTGAAGGTTATATGATGTATAAAAAAGTGCTTAGCATTTTCTGAATAAAGAAAATGCTTCATAAATGTTGGCTATTATTATGTTTCTCTAATTATTAACAAATTAAACTTATATGATCATTTAAATAGACTTAGAAGGAAAAGGTGTAAGAAGATAGCTTGGTCTTTAGAGAAAAAGAGGCTCTGATTTTCTGTTTTTTGGTTTTTTTAATAGAGAGGAAAAAAATCTCTTGAAGACTTACGAAATTAGAACTACAGGTGGGGAGATCATTGAAAACAAGTTGCCATTCCTCTCTCTCTTCTCAATCACTTACACTACTATCAACATTAATCTTGTAGACCTAAACGTAAGGCCAGATACTATAAAACTCGTAGAGGAAAACACAGGCAGAACACTCTCTGACATAAATCGAAGCAAGATCCTTTTTTGATCCACCTCCTAGAGTAATGAAAATAAAAACAAAAATAAACAAATGGGACCTAATTAAACTTAAAAGCTTTTGCACAGCAAAGGAAACCATAAACAAAACGAAAAGACAACCCACAGAATGGGAGAAAGTATTTGCAAATGAAGCAACTCACAAGGGATTAATCTCCAAAATATACAAAGAGCTCATGCAGCTCAATAACAACAACAACAAAAAACCAACCCAATCAAAATAATGGGCAGAAGATCTAAACAGACAATTATCCAAAGAAGACATACAGATGGCCAAAAAGCACATGAAAAGATGTTCAACATCACTAATTATTAGAGAAGTACAAATCAAAACTACAATGAGGGATCACCTCACACTAGTTAGAACGGTCACCATCAAAAAAACCTACAAACAATAAATGCTGGAGAGGGTGTGGAGAAGAGGGATCCCTTCTACACTGTTGGTAGGAATATAAATTGGTACAGCTTCTATGGAGAACAGTATGGAGGTTTCTTAAAAAAAAACTAAACTTCGAGCTACCATATGATAAAGCAATCCTACTTCTGGGCATATACTCTGAGAAAACCATAATTCGCAAAGATACATGTACCCCAATGTTCATTTGCAGCACTATTTACAATAGCCAGGACATGGAAGCAACCTAAATGTCCATTGACAGAGGAATGAATAAAGAAGATGTGGTACATATACACAATGGAATATCACTCAGCCATAAAACAGAACAAAATAATGCCATTTGCAGCAACAATGGATGGACCTAGAAAGTGTCCTACTGAGTGATGTAAGTCAGACAGAGAAGGACAAATATCATATGATATTGCTTACACGTGGAATCTAAACTAACAGTACAAATGAACTTATCTACAAAACAGAAATAGAGTCACAGATGTAGAAAACAATCTTAGGGTTACCAGGGGGAAAGGGATAAATTGGGAGATTGAGATTGACATATACACACTACAATATATAAAATAGATAACTAATAAGGACCTACTGTATAGCACAGGGAACTCTACACAATACTCTGTAACGACCTAAAAAGGGAAAAGAATCTAAAAAAGAGTTGATATATGTATAACTGATTCACTTTGCTGTACACCTGAAATTAACACAACATTGTAAATCAACTATACTCCAATAAAAATTTTTAAAAAAGAACCACCTTAAAAAATTAACTGATTTCAGGGCTTCCCTGGTGGTGCAGTGGTTTAGAGTCCGCCTGCCGATGCAGGGGACACGGGTTCGTGCCCCGGTCCAGGAAGATCCCACATGCCACGGAGTGGCTAGGCCCGTGAGCCATGGCCACTGAGCCTGCATGTCTGGAGCCTGTGCTCCGCAACGGGAGAGGCCGCAACAGTGAGAGGCTTGCGTACCGCAAAAAAAATAAAAAATAATAATTGATTTCAGTTTACTTAAAAACTTTAAATAGTTCTCCATACCTTACATAACTAAATATAAATCTCTCAATACAGCATTCAAATTCTCCTAGGATATGGCTCCAAAATAACTTTTCAGTTTAAATGCTTACTATTTATCTATCCTGTGATGAAAACACATACACACACACACGAAGCAGTTAAATTTGATTACTTGCAATACAGTGAACACACTCTACTATTCAGACATTTTATTTCTCTACTACTAATTTTTTCTTCGTGTCTATCAAAATTCTGTATAGTCATCCCTCACTATCCAGGGGGGACTGGTTCCAGGACCTACTTGGATACCAAAATCCACTGATGCTCAAGTCCTTTATTTAAAGTGGCACAGTATTTTCATATAACCTACACACACCCTCCCTTATACTTTAAATCATTTCTAGATTACTTATAATACCTAATACAATGCAAATGCTATGTAAACAGTACTGTTGCATGGCAAATTTAAGTTTTGCTTTTTGGAACTTTCTAGAATTTTTTTTTCAAATATTTTCAATCCATGGTTGGTTGAATCCGTAGATGCAGAATCCACAAATACAGAGGGCCAACTATATCCTTTGTTTAATTCTTACTCCCAACTGTTAGTTTTGTGACTTAAAGAATTCAAAATTCTTTCTCTTAGCACTTTGATGGCACTGTCTCACCGTTTTCTTGCATTCACACTGCTAAGAAGTTTAATACCAATCTAATTGTTATTCTTTGTAGGTAATATGTCTTTTCTCTGGCACATTTTAAGATTTTCTCAACACTGATAAAGACATCAGAGCTTAGTAAAGGCAGCTTACTTAGCACGTTGGTTAAGGGTACATAAAGCTTTGGACACAGATTGATGGACACAAATCTGCTGTATTAGTTACTACTATGTAACTAGGACACGTTGTTTAAACTCTCTGTACCTCAATTTCCTAATCTGTAAAGATAGTAATTAGATAAACTTTATAAGACTGGCAAGAGTACGGATTGAGATAATAGATGTAAATACGTTAGAAAAGTACCTGGCTCTTATGAAGTGCTCAATAAATGTTACTCACTATTTCATCATTAGTCATCTCCTAAAAGTTTAGTATAAGATTTCTAGCTATTTGCTGTTGTTGTTGTTGTTTGTATGTTGTGATTTTTTTTTCTTTTGCCTTGCAGGGTAATTAGTATGTTCTTTCAAATTGAGAACTTTACTCTCTACTTTTGATACTACTATAACATATTAGAACATCTGAATCTATCTTGTCTGTCTTTTAAAATTTCTTTTATATTTTCAATCTTTTTATCTATTTGTGTCATATCCTGGGAGATTAACTCAGTGTTCAGTGTGTCCAGTTTCCTATGATCCATTTACTTTGTTCTTTACTTCAATAATTACATTTTTTTTTCTTAAAACTCATAGCTGATTCTTGCTCTTTTTCAGTAAATGTTCTTGATTCCTAGTTTCTGTAATTGTTTCATAAATTGAATTGTTTCCTTTATCTCTTAAAGAACACATACATTTATTATAAAGTCCTTTCTATTTGTAATAAAATGTAAACTCTATTCGTTGTTCCTTTTTTATAGTAGAGGCCAACTTTAGATGCTTGGTGTTTCTTAGATATGTACTCATTTTTTAATACAGAATTCTCCTATACATGTTTTGGACTATGGAAACTTCTGGGTGACAGAGCAGCTGTACTGACTTTCCGGTAATATGGCAAGATCTTCCTAGCAAAGTGCTATAGCTTTTCGTCTATTTCCTTAAAATGTCTAACCTGCCAAAAGTTCCCTTTGTTAATTGTTGATGTGTTATCAATTAATAGCTTAATATTTTGTATCAAATCTAAAGGTCTGATGAGGTAGATTTAATCCATCTTAAAACTGGACTCTAAACTTTGAGCACCACTTAAAATGTCATGAAAAAAAAATGTTATGAAGCCCCTATCATGGAATTAATATTTCCTTTCTTGGAATTCACACAGCTCTCTGTGTTTATCTTCAAAGTTAATGAATTTGCATTAAATTATAAACTCTTTGACAATGCACCTTAATCACAGTTTATTCCTACTGCATTGCTATACACACAGTAAAGATTCATCAACATTTGCTGAATCGAATTACTCATATGAGACATACCTAGATCATTAGTAAAGAGTTTAAATATAAATGATGGTAACAAAAAGGAAAAGCTACATACTTCACATTTACACTTATGTAAACTTCACATTCCAATAAAATTCTTCATTTAGGCTATGATTTTAAACAAAAATGAGATTCACTATCATTTCATACCAACAAAAAGAAAGATGGTCTAGACAAAGGATAGCAAAGAATCAGAAAATCTGGCATTTTCCCTTAGAAAAAGCAGTGCCAATGTGTAAGCTACCATGTTTCTGTGAATATTTAAATATTAATAATAAA